AAAAAAAAAAAAAAAAAAAAAAAAAAAAAAAACTTTTACTAGGCTTTTAGGCTTTAGCCCCAAAAGAAAAGAAAGAGGGAAAATGAAAACAAAAAGCATAAATATTGACTCGGAGAGCATGTATTTGACACCACCATCTTTGGCGATTTTTATTTTATGTCCTACTTACTAGAGAAAGAAGAGAGGGGCTGCTGGCTAGTCAGGGAGCAAGAGTGGGCGAGTGTTGAGAGATATTCTTCTTAAATACCTCTTGCGGGGTGCTGACCTTAAAACCACCAGTACATTTTCCAACCATTTTTCTCAGATGCGGCTGTATGCAAGCTGCAAATGTCGGGGGTTGGCAGCCGGAGCAAAATGGACGGCAGCCGCAGCCAAAAGAAGGCCTGCGCAGGCCCCTTTTCTTTTCGGCACACAGTGCGTTTTGATGACCGGCAAGGAAATGGTAAAACGGACTGGTGGTTCAAACCACTAGTACACGGCCCCAGCCTTGCAGCTCGAAACTTGTCGCCACAAGAAAACGAGGCCGAAACATAAAACGCTGGGCCTGCCGTTGATCAATTGGATCGGCTGTGGTGTTTTCGTTTTGCGCTTCCAGAATTTGAGGTGTCAGGCCCACGGCCCAGGTGTCCATGTACTGGTGCTTCAAACTTCTGTTCTTGATAGAGCGGAGTAACTGTGGTTACCAAGCAGCGTTTGTCATCAGTGGCAGAGGTGCCTTGCCACACTGCTGACGAAAGAGAGTAAGGCCCTCGCCGTGAACAGAGTAAAGGCCGTTGATACACTATGCACAAGATGGGAAAAATGACGAGTCCACCTTCAAATAGAAAGTTGCGAGATTGATCTGCATTATGAATGGTGGTTGGTCTATCTTGCCGCCTCCTTTGGGAAGATGCACTTGCAGTTTTGTTTTCACAATTTGTTGGCAGTGGTGTGAGGCCCTATGCGATCAGGGAGGCGAAGACGTAGTCCAGCTTCAAAACGAGGGCCTAAGCGATCAGAGGCAAAGCTGGAGAGAGCTTCTGTGTTGCACGTTTGCGTGCATCCTGTTTGATGTCTCCTGTCTCTGCCTATTTACTTTTTTTTATTGAATTTTTGCTTTGTCTGTTTTCTGTTTGTTTGCTTGTTTGTTTGGACTACCGTCCTCTTCACCCAAATAGAATCCCTGGTCAATAGAGCTGAATTTGGGAAAACTCTCTGTCTAGATACAGCAATAATGGCTAGGCATTATATTCGGGTGGAAATGGTAGTGCAGTACGTTGACATTGTTGAGTCTTCTTCTTCTTCCTCTTCTTCCTCTTCTTCTTCTTCTTCGTCGTCGTCTTCTTCGTCTTCTTCCTCTTCTTCCTCTTCTTCTTCTTCTTCTTCTTCTTCTTCTTCTTCTTCTTCTTCTTCTTCTTCTTCGCGACTACTCATTATTGTTAGGTACACCACTGACGCGACTAGTCTTTAATGTTGAACCACGGGTACGTTTCCTAGCCATTTTTTTTTCTCCGATGCGGTGTGCATGTGGGTGCAAGTTTCGGGGGTCGGTCTACAGGAGCCAAATGTCTGGTGGTGCAAGCCAAAAGAAGGCCTGCGTCGGTTTGTTTTCTTTGGCGTCGAGGGTGTTTCCAGGCTTGGCAAGGGAAGGGTCAAACGTACTGTCAGCTTAATATCGAGCATGTATATGGTTGTAGTTGACATCGGTTACATCATTGAATTCTTTTTCAGTCGCTCGACCACGATTGTTGTCGTTGGAAGTACGAAACTGTACGACTGAAATCGTGTCATAAGGAATGACTTCAGACATGCCATCAAAGGGAACACATGTCGCCCGATCATGATGACAAACTTTGTCAAACACATATGAGGGAACTTACAGAAAATGACGACCTTCTTTTATTATGTCATAAAACGCGGATGACTCCTGGCTGGCCTCCGTGCATTCATTGATTACGTGTAATGTACTGTTGGGGGCGAAAGTCTAGGATGGATCTATTGTTATCTGATGGTAGAGTTCTCTATTCCTACTCTTCGTCACTAATTACATTATGATATTAATCCCCAAACCATGATTATCTTTATCATCATTGCCGCAACCATTGTAGTTGACTTCAGAATCACATTTTCCCATTGCTCTTGTTGTTGTTGTCATCGTTTTACCCTGGAACTCGTTGTCCTTGGCAGTCATTGCTGTTTCTTTTTTTGTTAGTCGTTCCTGATGATACTTTTATAGTTGTTTCCCCATTTGCTGTCGATGATGATCCAGTTGCTGTCATGGCTGATGCCGTCATCTTGCCTTCCACCAAATGATGATTTTGGTAGCTGTTGTTGAGACTGAGCCACTCTCTTTGTGTCAAATTTGTCATGTTGCTTTGTTTTCTTTTTTTTAATCAACAGTAATTGTAAAAAAAATTGATAAATATTATTTCAATTTATTTGTGTTGTCTGTTTTGAAGTGTTTTTTGGTCGTTTTATCAATGTATGTGGATGGTTGCAATGGTTCCACTCATCCTTGTTTGGGTGATTGTTATGGGCACAGTTGGGTTGTTGTCTTGTCTCCCACTCCTCCTCCTCCTCCTCCTCCTCCTCCTCTCCTCTTCTCTCTCCTTCTGCTCTCCACCTCCCTTCTCCTTTCTCCTCCTCCTCCTAGTCCTCTCCTCTTCTCTCTACTTCTGCTCTCCACCTCCCTTCTCCTTTCTCCTCCTCCTCCTAGTCCTCTCCTCTTAATCCTCTTTGTGAGTCGGGCGGTTTACAAATGTTCAACAGTATGCAAGTCTTTTGTGATTGAGTTGTTCTGTGCTGTTGTTGTTGTTGTTGTTCTTTACCTGTGTTTGTATTGTAACATGTGGCAGAGTCAGTTGCTGGGCCTCCAAGTACGCCAAACCTACACTACTCAGCTGGCCCGATAGCGGTTCCTGTTCCGTTCTGCCCACAGAAGAATGGAAGCGTTCCATCGGGAGATCAGACCGACGATGATGAGCACTCCGATGATGAGGCAGAGAATCACAATCTCGAACAGATAACAGATCCGAATGACCTCAAACGAGTCAAGCGGTATAGTAGCACTTACTCCCTCCGCCCTTGTCACCCCCCCAATCCTCAGCCCCCCTAGGTCGTTTTCCTTCTCTTTCTTTTCTGGAACTGTTTCCATCGTTGGAAAAAACTAATGGTGTTGCTGTAAATTCTTTTGACTTGCCGCGGGAATAGGAACCGGACTGATGCTCCCCAGAATGGAAAAGGAGCCAGAACCGACAAGTTCTGTTAAAAAAAAAAAAAGCAGATCAGTTCAGACGAAGTAGCATGGAGGAGAAGGTCTGTAGCGCGAAGTGTTCGTGCTTCTTTGCGAGGTGGTTATGCTACGAGAGAACATCTAACTACATTGTAAAAAAAAAAAAAAAAAAAAAAAAAAAAAAAAGGAGAAAACAAAAAAAAAAAATTTAAAAAATAGATCATGAAATATTTAAAAAAAAAAAAAAAAAAAAAAAAAAAAAAAAAAAAAAAAAAGGATGTAGCAAAGCAAATAAAAAGTTATTATAAAGGTTGTCAGATTTCATTTCTGATTGAAGTTCACTAAACTCCTCCAATGATGATAAAATAGCCCATAAACGGAGTATGGAAAATCGGCCACCTATGGCGTGAAGAGCGAAAAGAGTGGAAGACGGAGCAAGAAATCAGTACCCAACTGAAAGCGTGTGACAGAAGGGGGCTAAATCTTAGTTACATTCTTAGTCTCATCCCCCAAGAATGGAAGACAATCCTGAAGGAGGCTGCGCCATGGAAACCCGGAGAGGGGGGAATTTTGGTACGAGAAACGGTTCCTTCCAGATGCAAGGAAGTTAAGCAATAGCGAACTTCAGCAATCAAACAGCATCATACACATGAGTCCAGATAGTCTTGACCTCGAACCAAAAGCAGAATTGCAACACGAGATTCACCAAATAAGAACACACCAAGAGTTCATAATTCACAATGCTGAAGTAGTCCCATCATCATCAACGAAGAACCAGAGTTGCTATCCTATCTGGCRCTCGGCGCCYAGACTACAAGTGGCAGATCCTATCTAGCCTATACTACGAAGCCGAAAGATGACATCAACAGCATTCCCGAAGTACGAGCATATGGCGACCAATGTCGCACRCTTCCAGCACCAGGTAGGTCTCGCGCTACACTCACAACCTCGTTCCCCAACTCACAGATGCCACTAGCACCCAAGGACCACCCTGCGCTTCACCCAGCATACAACAGCGCAGCTTGGCTATGGCTGCGTGCTCCTTCCCTGCTCGCCCGTGAGAGCGTAGGCGCCAGCCAGCAAATAGCGCAGCATGCGCTTGCGCAGCATGCAGCCAGCACCCGAATGCCGAATGAGGAGGCAGGCCCTTCCCTATATCGAAGTGGCCTGCCTGCGTCCAGTCCAGGAAGCTTCCAGTAGGCCCCGGTTGCCTCAGGCCCAGTCACGAGGAGAGCAGGCCTTGGGCCTGAAGTGGTTGCATGTGCCCAACTGCTTTCGGCCTGTGTTTGGCCCGGTACCCGTATCCAGCCCAGGGCCTGCTTCACGTACATTCACACAGGCGTCCCAGGGCCTGGGTTCACTCAACCAACTGGCGCTGCGCAACTGCCTGAATTTCCTTGAGTTGCGTGGTGGCCAGAAAAGGGCCCTGAGGGCCTCGTCGAGCCTGCCTTTACTTAGGGCGGCCGACGGGCTGCAAAAAGGGGGCCTTATGGGGCTCATAGAGGCATTGGCCTCGCATTCCCTCCCCCTCAGCTTCAACAGTCCTCTGAGAAGCTCAGTCTTCGATCATAGGGCACTTTCCCTTCTGCAGAGATCTCTCGTATTGGGTTACAACTTGAGGAGCGGTCTGCATGAGCTCTTCCGTGGTGAACCATCTGTCCTCCTTCGGATCAGTGTGATGTCGGAACCGAACGCGATACTGCAGCTTCGGTTTTGGAGGACGTCCCCGGCCTGCTGGTCTTGATACCGGCAGTTCTCTGTGATCCACGATATCATCGATGTCCACCTCTCCGTCCATGGTTGGGGGCAGCATTGAGCGACGAGATGGAAACTGATCAGTCTCTTTGAAAGGTGCCAGTTTGGAGGTGTGGAAGACAGGGTAAGTACGAAGATGACCAGGTATCCGGATAACATAGGATGGCCCATCCGGATCTGTCCCAACGATATCCACGACTTCCCAGGGTCCAAAGTACTGGGGCATGAGTTTGCGGGAGATCCCATGCTCCTGTCCCGGTTCTGACGCCTTAACCCAGACCCTATCCCCAACCTGAAATGTAGAAGGCCGACGGTGTCGATTTTCAGACTCTTTCATTGCAGCTTGCGCCTTCTGCATTTGTTCTACAGCCTGCTGCATCTTCTGTTCTTAGCGGTAAGCAAATTCCAGGGTACCTGGTCCAGCAGTGGTTTGATTCTTAGGAAGAAGAAAGTCTAGTGGTAGTCTAGGCTTGAATGTTAGTAGTAAGCTGTTGGGGCTCACCCCGGTGGCGCTGTGTACTGCGTTGTTGTACAAGCTGGCGATGAGAGCAAGCTTCTCATCCTAGTCCACCTGATTGGGCTTGATGTAATGCCTCAACAGGTGTTGCACAACGCGGTTCAGTTGCTCAGCCTGACCGTTGGCCTCTGGGTGATTCCCAGAAGTCATCTGTAACTGAGTTCCTTGTTCTGCAGCAGCGGCCTTCCACAACTCACTGGTGAACCAGACATCTCTGTCACTAACAATGGACTTCGGTAGACCAAAGTCCCTGACCCAGCTCTCTTTGAACATTCTAATCACGTACTCCGTCTTTGCTGTTTCCGGCATGGCTATTAACCTAGCATACTTACTAAATCTATCCACGATGACAAAGATGTGACGCATTCCACTCTTGCTGGTGATCAGAGTATCCATGAAATCCATGGACATACTCTCACCAGACCGTTCCAGAATCGGAAGGGGCTTCAGAAGCCCAAGAGGAGCCTGAGTACGTGGCTTGTCTCGTTGGCAAACTTGACAAGTCTCCATGTACAGCTGAGCATCTCGCATCATCGTGGGCCACCAGAACCGCGGCAGCAAGTTAACTACGGTCTTCTTATACCCAAAATGGTCGGTGGCATCATGACACTCGCCTAAAAACAAACTACGCAAAGACTCGCTATTTGGAACACACAGACGTTTATTCCCTGCCTTCTCTAGGAACAACAAGCCATTGACCAACTCAAACTCGGCGGAGGTCTTCTTGTCTTTCGTCTCAAGTCTGCGTATGATCTCAGACATAAACTGGTCCTGATGATAGGCTTCCACCAAAGACTGAGTAACATTGTCCGTCAGATCAAACTTAGTAATCAGCGCACCTGAGAARTCCGGTCTGTGCGACAAGGCATCAGCAACGTTGTTGTACTCCCCTTTGAGATACTGAGGGTCAAAGTTATATTGCTCAATGACTTCGATCCAACGCTTGAGAGCGTCAGAGAGTACCGGCTGGGTTCTCATCCATCTCAGGGTCTGATGATCAGTCCTGAGGATGAAGAACCTCCCAAGGAGATAGTCTCTCCAATGGGTGAGAGCCTTGTACACCGCATAGAGTTCCTTCTCGTAAGTGGACTAAGCCAACTTCTGAGACGGCATTTTCTTGGACATGTACTCTACTGGCCTCAACTTTGGCCCCTCCTATTGCGCGATCACGACGCCAATGCCGTATTGGCTGGTATCCGTGGTGACTATAAATGGCTTGTCAGGATCAGGAAGTTTCAAGACTTCATAGTGCGTCAACGCATGCTTCAGATGTCTGAAAGCAACCTCACACCTATCTGTCCACTCCCATGGGGTGTCAAGGCAGGTCAGATCAGTCAAAGGAGCGGCCACTATGCTATAGTTCTTAACGAAAGTCCTATAGTAGCCTGTCATTCCTAAGAAAGATCTCATCTCAATCACAAACTGAGGACGTGGCCAATCACGAATGCTGGCCACCTTCACGTCATCGGGCTTCAACCCTTCCGCGGAGATCTCATGACCCAAGTACAAGGCACGGGTGCGGCCAAACTCGCACTTCTCACCGTTGATCTTGTACTTGTGCTGTCGCAGGAGATTGAGGACTTTGTCCAAATGTGCAACGTGCTCCTCAACACTCCTACTAAAAATAAGTATGTCATCGAGGTACACAACAATAAACTTATCTAAGTAGTCATGGAATATCCGATTCATAGCGGGCTGAAAGGTGCCAGGAGCATTGCAAAAGCCGAAAGGCATCACCACAAACTCATACAGACCGTACCTGGTTTGAAAGGCGCTTTTGTGTTGATCCTCGGGCCGGATTGCAATCTGATGGTACCCGGACTTCAGATCTATCTTACTGAGGTACCGACACCCTTGCACTCTATCTAATAGATCATCGATGCGCGGTAGGGGCTCTCTGTTCTTTACAGTGATGGCATTGAGGCCCCTATAGTCAATGCACATCCTAAGAGTACCCTCCTTCTTCTTAGGCACAAATAGAACTGGAGACCCATAAGGAGAGACACTCGGCCGGATCAAACCCTTCTCTACGAGTTCCTTCAGTTGGCGGCGAAGCTCATCAAGCTCGCCTGGAGACATCCGATAGATCCTACCCTTCGGGAGGCTGCACAAGCTGCGAGACAGCAGGCTGCGTGGTGACTGCAACCTGCAACGGACTTTGAGTAAACACTGTCTGTACAGGAACCTGCACACTACTCCCTGCTGTTACCCCTCCTGACAGCGGCATGCCTAGGGAAACGATAGAAACCGTTGACGGGGCTACGTATGGGGATACTCCAGTCACCGGTGGGACAGAGAAGGGAGGATATGGCACGGACCAGGCACCAGGCCCGGCTGATGATGGTGCTGCCTGAGCACGGCCTGACAGAACGGCCAGACTCTGTTGAATATCCTGAAGGATGGTAGTTTGATGCTCCTGCATCTCTATAACTCCTAGCAGGGCCCTCCTAACTACCTTCACATCATCATCCATCTTGGTCAGGTCCATCATCTCTAACTCCTCTATGTCTGCCTCTCTTCGTTGCATCCTGGCTCTTCTCCTGATCATCTTTTCTTTTTCCACTTTTATCTCCCCTAATGCCCGCTGTAGCTGTGCCTCCTGCAGGGCTGCCTGCTGGATGGCGACGTCCTCTGGAGTTAACACCGCGGCCTGGCTTGCCATAATGTCAGTGGACTGACTCACAGTCTGTGCTACCGTTGACCCGACGGCACCTGAACTACTGGCTTGGGAAGTCTACTGCGCAAAAGTGGACATGGCTGTAGTGGCCATGACTGCTATAGCACCGGCCTCGCTAACTAAAGTTCTGCTGGCCTCGGCTGCTCTAGCCCTCCTCTGCTGCTGCCGCCTCTCCCTAAGCTGGCGGAACAGATGTTTATCACCCTCCGGTCCTAAAGACATGTGGGCTACCGGGCCCCTAGCTGATCGCAAGGTCCTGCGGTCGTCCTCACCGGTGTCCTCCTCGTAGCTCATAGGCTATAGCGCTGTGCACTGTCTACACTAGATCATACTAGATGCCTACCGCAACATAGTGCACAGACCCACTAATTAACGAGTGGCTATTTCGGAACAGATATCACTTGGAGTCAACAGGTAAGTCAGATTCCTACAACTGAAACTATTTTTAGTACGACTAGTCCGCGAACATAAACATCAGGAACAATCAACAGTTCTAACCAATGTTGTCTGTCAGATGTCAATGGCAGTCCATCTAACTAATCAAAACATAAAAATAGAATCACTTGTGTGTATAGGACAGCATGGAATTTTCTCGAACTTGTCACCTGGAATCAACCCTTCCCTTAATTCGCCTGAGTATCACTTGACGTCAACGTCCCTGAGCAATCTGGAGGGCAATGCGTGTCTAAAGGTGTGTGTCCGGCCCACCCCTGTGCCCCGAGTATCCACTGAGACGGCCAGCCTTGCACGTATATTTATCCTCGGCGTGCCGCGAGCCTTCCAACCATTGACTGATCCAGGGGCAACCCAACGTCCGCCCCCAAGTGACTCCAGGAATTATTTTACGTCGCAGTCGGATGACGATCACAGTCAATGGTTCCCCTTCCCGTGTTTATTTATAGACGCCGGGTGCTCGTCTTTCCTGTAGGGCTGGCCTGCCCAGTAGTACCCATCTAACAGCGCAGCAAGCCGAACAAAGGACAAGCAGCTTAGGCATGCGTGCTCTACTCCCTGTGGGTTGGCATGGTGACCTTGACCCAGTGCTTCGTCCAGGGCCCTTCAGAAAGCTTCGCCCATCTCCACCCAGATGCTCCACGTGAACATTGCCGACTCTCAAGGTTGAGCGCGCTCGACACCTCACAATGAGAGGACTCTCAAGAAGGAACACACAACCTCACGGTAAGAAGTGTCGAAGAGGAAAGATAAGGTTAAGAGCGACGTACCTCATTTAGCTGCCCCCAACCACAGAGATAATCTCACCAGATAACCAAATGGCAATTGCGATGACCAGTCACTGCATCGGCACAACCAGCATTATTCACCGTTCCACCTCAGCATCAATCGCACATTAGATAGTTCTCATCACACTATCCAGGCCACATTACAGTTCCACAGCCTTCCTGGCGATTCCCCTCACCTCCTGGGTCGCCAACACACTCGTCTCCACCCTCCTCACTACACACCACTTACGACCAAACTCGCCCAGCAGACCGCATGTACCGCATAAGGCAGAAGACAAGCGCCAGATGAGCGCATTCGTACCACAACTCTGATACCAAATTGCAAGGAAGTTGAGCAATACCGAACTTCAGCAATCAAACAGCATCATACATATGAGTCCAGATAGTCTTGACCTCGAACCAAAAGCAGAATTGCAACACGAGATTTACCAAATAAGAACACACCAAAAGTTCATAATTGACAATGCTGAAGTAGTCCCATCATCATCAACGAAGAACCAGAGTTGCTATCCTATCTGGCGCTCGGTGCCCAGACCACAAGTGGCAGATCCTATCTAGCCTATGCTACGAAGCCGAAAGATGACATCAACAACATTCCCGAAGTACGAGCATATGGCGACCAATGTCGCACGCTTCCAGCACCAGGTAGGTCTCGCGCTACCCTCACAACCTCGTTCCCCAACTCACAGATGCCACTAGCACCCAAGGACCACCTTGCGCTTCACCCAGCATACAGCAGCGCAGCTTGGCTATGGCTGCGTGCTCCTTCCCTGCTCGCCCGTGAGAGCGTAGGCGCCAGCCAGCAAATAGCGCAGCATGCAGCCAGCACCCGAATGCCGAATGAGGAGGCAGGCCCTTCCCTATATCGAAGTGGCCTGCCTGCGTCCACTCTAGGAAGCTTCCAGCAGGCCCCGGTTGCCTCAGGCCCAGTCACGAGGAGAGCAGGCCTTGGGCCTGAAGTGGTTGCATGTGCCCAAGTGCTTTCGGCCTGTGTTTGGCCTGGTACCCGTATCCAGCCCAGGGCCTGCTTCACGTACATTCACACAGGCGGCCCAGGGCCTGGGCTCACTCAACCAGCTGGCGCTGCGCAACTGCCTGAATTTCCTTGAGTTGCGTAGTGGCCAGAAAAGGGACCTGAGGGCCTCGTCGAGCCTGCCTTTACTTAGGGCGGCCGACGGGCTGCAAAAAGGGGGCCTTATGGGGCTCATCGAGGCATTGGCCTCGCACAGAGCCTTCCAGTTCTCCTATATGCAGCAGAATTCACCCACCAAAGCCACCTTCCTCTCCTTTCCGATCTCCGGGTCCACTAATAATATGCCGACAATCATTAACAGCAGGGTGGAAACAGAAGTAATGGACTTCTTGTTACTCCGAAAGGTGAGGGTCCTGGGTTTTTGGCCAAAGACAATCTTTAGACCTGACACGGCGATCCATAACCTAGAATTCGACCTGGCTGAATGGATGTGGACGCCGGATAAGACCAAGAACATCAAATCCAAAGTCCCAATTCATGAATACACAGTTAAACTGGGGTACAGGCTGCTGCTCAAAACTAAAGACCCAGACCTTATCATCAAGAAAAGATGGCAGAACTTATTGGGACAGGAGGCAGACAAATTAACCCAGATCCAGTGGAAGAAGTTCAAGTCTATTAGGCCGATTAAAATCAGAAGCTTACAATGGCTAATCACGTATGGTGCACTACCGGTGAATCAGTGGCTACATACCAGACGGAAAGGCTCAGACCCTAACAACTCGGACTTGTGCACAGTCTGCACAGAAGGGGCGGTAGAAGACATAGTACACTGCTTAATACTCTGTCGGGAGGTGACGGACTACTGGGCAAGAGCCTCGGCACTATGGGATTCCCTTTTCCCGACCCCCTTCTCCCAACAACCCATCCAACTTCTATTGCTGACTAACATCCCCGAATGGTCGCAAAAGGCAGAAAGGATCTGGTTCGAGATCACAAGGAAAGTGACACTCTGGGTCATATGGAAGGAGAGATGCAGCAGAACGATCGAAGGATTGTCTAACCCACGCGAGAAGGTCTGGGCCGAGACGAAGACAATGATACAATCTCAAATCCTGTGCAAATGGCGGAAGATTAAACAATCATGGACTGAGGATGAGGATCAACGAATGAAGGCGAGAAGGAATTTCTGCAGAATTTGGTTGATAAATAGCGAAGTAGCAGACCTGCGAGAAGACCACATTCGGTGGAAGGACTGGCACAATTCCAATGCAGGGAGGGACCACCAGCAATAGAGAACGGTGGAGGGGCAAAGGACATCCGGAGCAAACCTCTATGAAGGAGACTTATGACTGCAACAATGGCAGGACAGTACAGAATAAAACGGACAAGACCCAAAGGTGCACCGAAAGAAAGGATCCCCCCGAGGGAGACCAACATCTGTTGTAGTGATGGGACCCTTCAGAGGCGAGCAGTAGAGACCCAAGACTTCGTTGATAAGAAAAGACTACAGATCACTCAAGGAGAACGAGCAAGTGGCCGAAGAACCGAAAGTATATTATCAATGGTGGGCGAACGAGGGTTTAGGGTTTAGGGTTTAGGGTTTTAACGACATGAAGAAAAAGGGAGGGCAGATAAGAAGAGGACAGGGAGGGCGGTGACTCAGGAGCAGGATGGCTAAATGGACGTTCACACGTTAGCTTGATAAGGGGCAACCTCCTTCTAGAAAGAATATAATTATTTGACAGATCTGGGTTCCGGGTCTGAGAGGAAGAGTGTTGCACGGCAAGCTGACAGTCAATCCTCCGCCAAGGTGGACCAATCAATGCTGCTCAGGGGTCCTTCGGCCAGACGGAAGGAAGCGTGCGTGTTCCTTAATGTAATGCATGTTTTGACTTGCCGGTGGAATAGGAACCAGACTGACGCTCCCCAGAATAGGAGGAGCTAGGGCCATAAGGTCCTATTTTCTTAAAAAAAAAGAAAAAAAAAAAAGAAGGATAAAATACTAAAAATAGCCCATCATAATCTTTAGAATCTTCTTCAGAATCTTCTTCAGAATCTTCAGAATCTTCAGAATCCTTAGAGTCTTTAGAATCCTGATAATCTTTAGAAGCAGTTATCAGGGGCCTGGTCCCACTAGCGGGTTTTGGAGAAGTGCAACACCCAGGACAGCTAAAAAAGAAGAACACAACTCTTATCTGCAGCCGTTAGATTAGCGGGCTGCCCGACAAGATCTGCTATACGGTGTTGCACAGCCTTGGGGGCTGACGAGCCGACTGGTCGGCCGGTCGGCAGCTGGTCGGCAACCTGCAGTAAAAAAGTAAAAATAAAAGTAAGGAAAAGCAAACAAAACCACTATAACCCCAAAATATTTCCCTCCCCTACCCCCCATATCCCC